GCATGTAACACCCCCCCCTCCTTATGAAGTCAAGCCGGGTCAAAGGCGAAGCTGACGATCTGAAGGTGGAACCTGGATGCGGGTGCGACGTGGAGCCGAAGATACCTGCTTGTCTTGCATCTTGCGTTCATAGCGTGCAAGAACATTTGGAGCTGTTGCTTGGAGTTCCGCACGGGTCAACCAACGGTCGACTTTGTGGGTGCAGTACGCAAAGTGTACCAAGTATTTGGTCGGCCTATTGCCGTAGCGTCGCTGGGAGATGATGTCACCGACCTCTTGAAAACCGTCCACAGAGGGTGGGTCTTGCAATCGTCGCCCGGGAAAATCGTCATGTGCCGCTGGGGTGTAAAGAGCCAACTTGGAGCAATGAAAGACCGGGTAGACGGGCAAGTGGCCAGCCACCTGAATGATGAAGGAAGGTCCTTCGGGTGCATCCCCAGCGGGTGCCACAATCGGCCAGGGCCCCATCCATTTCGGGAGGAGATTGCAAGAGAGATCTTGTTCGAGGCTGAACTCCGCGGCGGAAACCCAAACGAGATCGCCTGCGCGGAATGGACAAGGAAGACGCTGGCGATTGGCCTGTTGGCTCATGCGTTGCTGCATCTTAGCCATCTGGTCGCATGCGTTGACAAGTAGCTCTTGCATCCGACGCAAGAAAAAAAGATGGTCGTCGCTCTCGGCCATTCGTGGAATGATTGTGTCCAATGGAGAAGTGACCGGCGAGCCGTGCTCGAACTCGAAGGGCGGCATCCCGATAGTCGGGTGGATGGACGAGTTGTATGCCAACTCGACATCTGGCAGCCGCTCAACCCAATCCTTTTGATCGGGATGGATGAGAGTGTGAAGGAGAACCTGTGCAGTCTCATGCGCCCTCTCCGTCTGGCCATCGGTTTGGGGGTGGCGAGCCGGACTTGGCTTGAGAGATGAGCCCCATCGTTTGATGAGCGCCAACCAAAAATCGCACATGAACCGAGTGTCGTGGGCGCAAACGATTTCCTTGGGGTCACCCTTGGTTCGAATCCAACCGGCGTAAAGAACCCGGCCAACTCCGGTGCCTTGACGTGATAGCGAGAAGGCAAAAACATGGCGAACTTGGTGAGTCGGTCGACCACCGTGAGAATCCCATCCACACCGGTCTTGTGCTTGGGGAACGGCCCGGTAATGACCATGGCAATCGCTTCCCTTCGGCGCAATGGAACCGGTAATGGTTGCAACTCACCGTACAGACGATGGTTCCGGGATTTGCAGCGTCGGCAAACCTCGCATGACTCGCAATAGCGTGTGACGTTGCCGAGAAGGCAGGGCCACCAAAATCGCTCGCGAAGTCGACCAATCGTGCGATTGACTCCAAAGTGTCTGGTGGGGGGAGAATCGTGGAACTTGCCAAGAAGTCATGTACGCAAGTGAGAGTCACTCGGTACACACAGGAGGTCCTTTCCCCGCGTGTGGACAAGGAAGTGCCCCTCTTGGATCCGGTAGTGAGAAGGCGCCGGATTAGGAGAGGAGCAATTCACGTACTTGTCGTGAAACTCGGGGTCGGCTTGGTAGCCGCGGATGAAGCTGTCCCACAGGTCGTCGTCCATCTCGAAGGTTGAATAAACTGCGGTACAATGATCCGGACGCCGTGAAAGAGCATCCGCAAAACGGTTAGACTTCCCCAGAATGTGATCGGGAAAGAAGTCGAATTGGTCCATGAAAGTCATCCAACGGGCAATGGTGCTATTGACGGTGTCTTGGGTCTTGTAGAAGACCAACGGATTGTTGTCCGTTACCCATCGGAATTGACTTCGACCAAGGAGGAAGTGTCGTCACCGCTTGAGCGCGTGGATGAAGGCTAGGATTTCCTTCTTGCGTGTATCATTAATGGAGTGCACGACGGGCACTTTCTTGCTAAAGTACTCGACCGGGTGTCAGTCCACACCATTGTGTTGTTCGAGGATGGCACCGATGCCATAGCCGGACGCATTCGTAGTGACGCACGTTGGCAATAGTGGGTCGTATATGCGCAAGACCTTCGCAAATAATAGCGCGGATTTTAGAGCCAAAAATGATTCTTGCGCATCCTCTCCGAAGTCAAATGGTCGATCCTCGGATTGAAGCTTGGTCAAGTGGGCCGCGATCTTCGAGTATCCTTTGATAAAACGTTGGTAGTAGCTGGCAAGGCCAAAGAACGAACGAACATCCATGACGTTCCGTGGCTCCGACCATTCTTGGATGGCTTGAATCCTGTCCGACAACGGATTGATGTCCTCCGGTGTGACAAAATGGCCCAAGTATTCCAACTCTTGTCGGACAAATTCGCACTTGTCGCGGTTGGCTTTGTACTTGGCGCGGCGCAGCGTCTCCAACACTCGTCGAAGGTGCTCAAGATGATCCTCTAATATGCGACTATAAACGAGAATGTCGTCTAAGTAGACCAGCACGAACCGGTCCAACATCGCACGAAACTCGTTGGCCATTGCCGCTTGAAACGTCGTTGGGGCGTTGGTGAGGCCAAAAGGCATGACCACCCACTCAAAATGCCCATACCGCGTCTTGAACGCGAATTTGTAGTGATCGTTCGAACGGATCGGTGGCGTAAAGTATTTTTCTAAGTTCGATTTGAAGTCGGGATCAATACGAGGAAGAGGCCCCGCATTCTTGATGGTTTCCGCGTTGAGTTTGCGGTAGTTGATGCACAATCGTAGATCCTTGTTCTTCTTCCGTACGAAGAGAACTCGGCTCCATATGGGAAGCTACTAGGGTCCGTAGGAAACATTGGCGCGCCGAGGACAGTAAGCTCCTCCTCGCTCATGTGATAAATGCAACCTTTCGACGACCGCGACGGTCCATAGGAAACATCGGCCGATTTCGTCGGGCTGCTCGTAAGCACAAGTAGCCCGGAATGACTTGGCTGTCACCACTTGACATCGAATCGAAGGGTGCGGAAGAGGAATAGTACACGACACTTCGGCGCCGACGGCGTCCCGAACGGTAAGATTCCGCCGGAGGAAGTTGACCGTGTGATCCGCACTTGCAAGCCAAGGCATTCCCAAAATAATGTTGAAGTCCATGTCCAAAATGTCGAATGTCACTGGTCCGCATGTATGAGGTGCAAAATACATCGGTACGACCTCGATGTAGCGGTCGACAAGTTGTTGCGTCCTTCCGTCCGCCAACTTGATCGTCGTCGGGTTTGCCTTCCTCCGAACTTGTGCGTCAAGGCCAGCCCTTTGCATAAAGGCTTGGCTCATGAAATTGTGAGACGCGCCGCTATCCAGCAAAGCGCTGCAGGACGCTTGCCCAACTCGGATGCGGACATAGAGGAACGGTGCGTTGTTGTCATCATACCGCTGCTTGCGAAACTCGCGGGCCACCTTAGTAACATACGCAAGGATGGCCCCCACCGCAGCTTCGTTATCCATCGGTGAAGTTGGTGGTGCATAGAAAGATAGATACATGTAAAGATGAGCACATAATGCTGCACATTGCGATCCCGGCAAGCGGCCCGTGGTCGGGAAAGGAAGTCATGCGAAATCCTCGGGTGTGAGCGGGTCCAATACCTCTATGTTGAACTCGCGCGCCGAATCCTTTGAAGAACCACTTGAAGACGATAAGTCGCCGCTGCCGGATGGAGAAGATGCCGCACACATGTCTTGTCCTTGAGCATGAGTACCCAACGTAGGAACGAGTCGGGCAGCATAGTCATCATAAGAATATTGAAGAGGAGGACTATCGACTTTCGCATGTGCCTCGGAACGAAGGGCGGTCACCCGCGAAGTGACCGGTTTCGAAGGCGTCGAGAGTATCATCGAGTACTTCCGGCGGTGCTCAGTTTCCCGATTTGCCTTTGCCCTTCAACGGGCAGCCCACTCTGTCGTGGAGATCGTTGTTACACCACAGACAGTAGCGGTATCTCGTGCGTTGCTTGTATGCTTGCTCCGAGAGGCCGTAGTGGGTCAATGGGGCTAGAGCTGCTGCGCCGGGCCCGGGGATAAATGTGGTGTTTGTCTTCGGTTTGCCGCGTCCTCGGCCTCTGCCAGGACGACCACCATCCCGGGCGGCTGCGAGTCTGTCCCCTTTATTGGCAGACACGGCCGCGCTAGATTGGTCAGTTGGCATTGCCGCCACGACCACGGCCACTTTCGGCCGATGCTGATCTTTGCTCGGGCCTGCCGCAGACGAACGGTTGAGGTTCTTAGCCTCCTTGTCCGTGACAATAATCTGTGCAGCCTTGTCAAAGAGCTCCGCCGTTGTCGTCAGGATGTCCTCGACATGAGTCAACGCGTTGCCCAACGCCGGACACGACCTCGAGATGGAGTAGTGTTTGACGACCTTGAAGCCCATCGGATGTCAAGCGTTGGTACTCGGCAATCCATCAACACTCGTTAGCGTGTCTTGTTCGAAGGTCATCAACTTGTCCATTGCCTTGATCTCCGGCGGCTCTACTTGGAACCGCTTATGCTACGCCGCCTTTAGATCATCCCAGTTGATCTTGGTGTACAAGTCGGCAGCTACCACCCCGTACTTGGACAAGAGATTGTCCGACCATGCTTGGCACGCGCCCCCCGATCGGGAGTACAAGTGTGCGTGATGTTTGTCCTCACTGACCTGGTGTAGCTGCAACTTGAGCTCGAATTTGCGGAACCATGGAATCGGGTTCGTCTTCGTCGAATCGCAGAAGATCCCCTGATCATCGAACTTTGGAGTCGACTCGCGTGGTGTCGGACTCGGGTTGGCGGCGGCAGTACAGATCTGCTGCTCCAGTTGTTGCGTCGCGGTTTGTTGTAGCTGCACGTCGTCCTTGAGGGCTCCGAAGTCGATCTCCAATGCATTGAGGCGATCAGAGGTGTTGGAGGAGCTGGCATCGGGGGCGGTGACGGGTCGTTGCTGCAGCTGCTGGAGGCAGCTGTTGACTTGATCAAACGCCCGTTTGTGCATTTGAACTGCGGCGTTGAGGTTGTGGATGTCCTCCTGCTGTGCAATGTACATTGCCAGGAGATCCGTGATATGGGAGAGGAGTAGAGCGATCTTGCTTTCACTCTCTTCCATCTTACCATTCTCGGCCTCGGCCTGTCAGTCTGCTGCCATTGTGAGCAAAGCTCGCTCTCCGTTGAATGTCTTCTCACGTCGTTGAGTTTGTTCTTCATCGGCAGCCTTTGCTGCTGCCTCGTCGTGCTGGCGATGCTGTTCGATTGCCAACAGACGTGCCTGTTCGGCGTCCTCCGCCTTCTTCTTTTCTGCGGCTACGACTGGATCCCCCCCTTGCTTGGCTTCGGTACTCCAAGCCAGCATCCAGGCTTGATAGGCCTCGGCCGTTTCCCCTGACTTCTGATCCATGCTAGCTGTTTGTAAGCGCGTGAGCATCGACCAGGCCGGAGGACTGCTGACTTGGCACTCCCTGCTGCTGATTTGGCACTGTTCGGCTGCTGACATGATGTGGCTGTCGGCTGACGTGTCCTGCTGACATGGCCTGCTGACGTGGTCTGCTGACATGGCCTGCTGACGTGGCAACTCACCAATGCCGCCGCAGGGGGTACCCGGAGACAGATAGAGAAGATAAGACCAGAGGGGGCAACAACATAGGTGGGGAGGGGTGGGTGGGATAAATCGCCCAGATAAGGAGCCACTAATCAAAAAGAAAAGTTTGAACTTTTGCAGAGAATTTTTTTTTTTCGAGAAATTAATAAAAATCCCGAGTTTTGCAAGTTCAGTAGGTCTCCGAATTCTCCTTGAAGTGCGAAATTACCAATGAGAAAAAATTTCGAACTTTCAGACTGCAAACGATTATCCGATAAAAGAATTCCGAAAATAAAATAAACAAAATATTCGGAATTACTCAGATGTGCGAGGATCTGGGTCCTCGGCAGGCCTAAGGGCCCCCCCTGCAGCAAATGTGCCCGCCCTAAGTGAAGGCGGGCCTAACAAATCGCCCGAGGCCCTAACCTGTCGATTTCGTATTTGGGGTCCAGGCAGTTTCGTCGCGCCAGTTGGTTGAAGAAACATAGGCTGAGCAGCAAGGAACTTCCACGGCCTTCTAGGCTTTTCCGAAAGTGCAGGCCCTGGGCGAGATCTGCAGCCTCATACACAGACAGTTGAGAGGCCCTACGGAATGAGGGCCAGTAGCTGCACCAGAGGCGCAGCATCCTGGAGCCTACCAGAAGCTTCTGGGCCCAGGCCCAGGCCAGCCAGGCTGCAAAGGCAGGCAGACTCTTTCCATATAGGAAAGAGCTTGCAGCCTGGAGCCTCATTCGGGCACTCGCATGCTGGCGGCAGCGCTGCTGGAGCTGAAGCTCGCGGGCTGCTGCTAGCGCTGAGAGGTGAGGTGCGAGCACGTGCGGTCGTGCAGGGAGCAGGCCGCTGCTGAGGGCAGCGCCATACACAGGGGTGGTCTTCGGGTGTTCAACAACGGAAGACGTGGGAGAGAGTCAGGGGAGAGCGAGAAGGATGATGATGAGGATGATGTGAGGGCACATACCTGGTATTGGCGATGGTTCTGCATGGGCGACATCTTCAAGTACTTCAGGTGCTGCTGACGTCAACTGTTGCATTGTCAATTAGTAGGCTAGTAGTAGCTGTGTAGGGAGTAGGCTGGGCGCCGAGCGCCAAGTAGGAAGATAGGGACTGGATACATATGTTGGTGGTGGCGAGGGCAAGCTCTCATTGCCATTGGTTTTCAACTTTTCAGTGCTACTACTCTTCATTGGTGTCATATTGGTGCAATGCTACTTTCTGAACACTGTGATACGATCTGGCTTTCAATGTGATTGTGCAATCTGAATATTGTCATCTCGCTTCTGTTCATTTTCCTTGCAGATGAGAGTACGCGCAGTTTTGAAAATGGTAACTGCAAGAGGGATTTCCCGTACCGTTAAAAAAAAAAAAAAAAAAAACGAATTTTGGAAATTCAAAAAAATATTCCGGATTTCCAAATAATGGGAAATTGCAAAAGGAAATCGAAATTTTCGAAAAAAAGATATTCCGGATTTCCAACAACGAAATTTCAAATTTTCAGAAGAAAAACGAAAACGGAAATTTCAGGTGTTGTGCTATTGCGATTTTCCACAACAGAAATAGCGGGAAAACAAAATCCAAGAAAATAAAAAAAATTCTAGGCTACCAGAGTGGCCTGGGGTCATTTGCCCGGCCGAGCCAAAACTATTAAGAAAAAGAAAAAGAAAAATAAATATATGTTTTTAATATTTAGTTTTTATTCTAAATTTCGTGAAGAATTTCGATGTGACCCTGAGGCAAAAGTTATTCAGTTTATTTTTCTGCATACCATAGTTGTTTTTCGGATGTTTTGGATTTCTTTTTCTTTTTCTTTTTTTTTGCTGGGACGTTCCCTGGTCCTTGCACGGGCTGGCCACCCGGGACCCGTGCGGCCCGGCTGGTAGCCTAGAAAATTTTCGATTTTCGGCAGTTAGGTTCAAAATCGTGATTTGGGGGGCTAATTAGTATGCGGTAGTCATCAATCAATCAAAACTAATTAACTACTTAGTCCCCACACACGTGTCAGATCAGGCTGTCCTGATTCACGTGTGGTGTTCCGATACCAACTGTTACATGCCCAGTTGGGCAATGTATCATGTATGTATATAGCCAAGGATCCGCAATGTGATGAAAAGGACTGAATGGACAATGCAGTGCAAGTGGAATTTCAACAAGCAATGTTCATCCTGATACAAAATGGTGCTTTGTAGCGCAGAGGAAGACTTAGATATAAGCCCTGACCTGACCGGGACTGACCTCTCTCACATAGTGGAAGACAGTGCAGCAGAATACTAGAATACCAATGACTAGCCCAATCAATGTCGCAATACAGACCAAACAAACATCATCCTCATCACAAGGTGTGAAGGGGCCTGGCGCTACACACAGGAAGAATGCGCCAGGTCCAGACCATTCACAGACGAAGAGGAGGGGATCAGACGAGGAAGAAGGGGGGAGATGGGAATGTCATCAACACCAAGTCTTCGTTACAAGTCCCAGATAATCCCTTGTCAAATGTCTGAAGCCCAATGTCGAGTCTGGATCCAAATGTCACCAAGCCCGCTCTCTCGTAGTCTGCTGATGCAGTGAAATCAGGTAGCGAGA